TGTATTTTGGTTCTTTCTGTCTTGTTATGTTCTTGTACAGTTTATGGTTTTCTGTAGTAATAAACTTTGAATTCTATTTCATGTTTTGTGATTTTACTAAAATTTTGTATTTTGTGGTTACTTTCAAAAGATTTTTAAAAATATAATTTATTATTTTTATTTTATGTGTATGTGTATATTGTTTGCATGTAGGTAAGTGCACCCATATCATGCAATGCCCTCTGAGGACAGAGAGGCTATTGGATCCACTGGAATGGACAGCTGTTAGCTGTCATGTGGGTGCTGAGATTTGAACCTGGGTCTTCTGCAAGAACAATCAGTGTTCTTAACCGCTGAGCCATCTCTCCAGCCCCTATTATTTTAATTTTATATGTATGAGTATAACCTGCATGTAGGTAGGTGTACCTGGGTCACACAATGCCAGCAGAAGTCAGAAGAGGACATCAGAGGACATCGGATCCCCTGGAACTGGAATTACAGACAGTTGTTAGCTGCCATGTGGGTGCTGGGATTCGAACCCGGGTCCTCTTAACTGCTGAGCCATCTCTCTAGCCCCAAATAAAATACTTTTTGAAGCCAGGCATGGTGTGCATTCCTTTAATCCCAGCACTCGGGAGGCAGAGGCAGGAGGATTTCTGTGAGTTCAAGGCCAGCCCGGTCTACATAGTGAGTTCCAGGGGCTACAGGGAGACTGAAAAAGCAAACAAACAAACAAAAAAAAACAATGCTTTTCCAGGTCTAACGCGCCAGGATGCTGGGTTTACATGGAGAGAAGAGAAGAGGTGGGAGGGGGAGGGGTTCTAGGAGGGAATGATGTAGGAGGCCTGCCAGGCTTTCTGCCTCTGGAGGCTGCTTGGGCTGCATGGATAGAGGGTTTGGCAAGCCTTAGGGGTGGGCAGGGTAGAGAAGAGAGGTGGGGCAGAGCTGAAGGGGAGGCCAAGGTGGGCTTATGCATATCTGTCATCCTAGCCCTCAGGAGTCAGGGAGGCTATGAGTTCGAAACTATTATGGACTACAAAGTGAGACCCCCGTCTCCAAAGAAAAAAATTGCAAGATGTCTCTTTTACCCCTGGAAATAGATGGAGCAACGTAGAGGTGCTGGGAGGAGGTGAAGAGAGCCTTTCAGGGAAGCCACCAGCCACTTTACAGTTCCCTCAGTAGCTTCCCCTTTTCCCTCTCTTCCCCAACAGGGAGTTACCACCTATTTTTCTGGGGATTGTACCATGGAAGATGCTAAGCTGGCCCAGGACTTTATGGACTCTCAGGTTTGAGGGCTGGGGACTTGGGGTAGAAGTTTGATAGATGGATCTCCCCATCCTGGCCCTGTAACCACTGGCACCTGCTCTTGGGTCCCAGCTTGAACTTGAAAAGATGTGGGGCATCTTGTGTCCTTGAGGTGGAATAAACTTGAGAAATCCTTGAGAATGAGGTTAGCCTGCTTCAACCAGGAAGACATCATACATGTCACAGGTCATTGCCCCTGCCCACCTCTGGTAAGAGTCTGGAATAGCCTCAGGGCATCAGAGCATCAGAGCCACCTGTCCAAGATGGGGCCTTTGGAGCCTGTATTACTCAGCCACTTTTCAGCTGTGTGACTGGTTTCCATGTCCATTTCATATGGCCAAGGCTTAGCTGAGGTCACTCTGTGCCTCATACAGCTTAGTAAAAGTTAGTGGTCATGGGCCGGTAAAATGGCTCAGTAAGTGAGGGCTCTTGCCACCAAGCCTGGTGACATGAGTTTAAGCCCTGGGATCCACATGGTGGAAGGAGATAAACAGTTGTTGCAATTGCCATTTTCATACATGCTCCATGGCATGCTTATGTACACACACACACACACACACATCTTTTCTCTTTATT